TGCCTTTGGCCCAGGGCGCGATCCTGGAGTCCCGGGATTGAGTTCTATGTCGGGCTCCCGGCATGGAGCCTGCTTCTCCCTCCTCCTGTATCTCTCCCCCCTCTGTCATAAATAAATAAATCTTTAAAAAAAAGAAAAGAAAAGAAAAGAAAAGTGAACACCACAAAGTGCTAATAACTTTTGCCACCCCAAAAGTGGCAAAATGGGAAAAACAGAAAGAAATGGATTTATCAGTGACTTTGTTGAATTGATGAAATAACCAGTTCTGGAACTGTCCTACCTTTAGACCTCTTGTTATGTTAGAAAATACCCTCCCTTCTTCAGCTACTTTCATTTGGATTTTCTCTTTTTTGCAGCCTAGAAACATTGTATATTTTACAGAACCATTTTACTCCTAAATTATATTAAAATTGAAAATAACATCCTTGTTGGAGAAACTAAAGTAAAACTGATACTCATGCCCTTCCCATGTTGCATATTAAAACAAGTCTTTTGAAACAAATGTCTCTACATAGTAGAAGTGTTAAAAATGGATGCCCTATGATCTAGTAACTCCACCTTTAGGAATTTATTCTTGGAGAGGGATTCAAAAGAAGAGAAAAAGATGTATGTATAGAGATGTTCAGTGCTACATTATTTATAAAAACAACAAGTATGAGATGGTTGGGTGGCTCAGCGGTTGAGCATCGTCTGCCTTTGGCCCAGGGCATGATCCCGGGATCTGGGATTGAGTCCCACATCAGGCTCCTTGCAGGGAGCCTGCTTCTCCCTTGGCCTGTGTCTCTGCCTCTCTCTTTCTCTGTGTCTTTCATGAATAAATAAAATCTTTAAAAAAAAAAAAGTAGGAAATAGCTATGATCACTGATCCTTGATGTTTTATGTGGCCCTAAAATTGCTTAGGAACTTTTTTTAAGCCTCAATAAAATACAAAAAAACATTGAAAGACAGGTTTTATTTTATATACGTAAAACAAACCTAGGCCATTAGAAGTCAGTATAGTGGTTACTCTTGGTGGAGAGGTAATGACTTGAAAGCAAGCCAAAGGCGGGCTTTTGGCATTTGTTTTTCTTAAAGGATGCTTTTACAGGGGTGCCTGGGTAGCTCAGTTGGTTGAGCGTCTGCCTTTGTCTCAGGTTATGCTCTTAGGATCCTGGTATTGAGCCCTGTTTTGGACTCCCTGCTGAGCAGGGAGTTGCTTCTCACTCTCCCTTTGCCCCTCTACCCATTCTCTCTCTCTGTCTCTCAAATAAATAAACAAATAAAATCTTTTTTTTTTTTTTTTAAGGATACCATACAGAATATGTCTATTTGTGACAGTTTATCAAGCTGTATATAATGTCTGCTTTTGGGATCCCTGGGTGGCTCAGCGGTTGAGGGTCTGCCTTCAGCCCAGGGTGTGATCCTGGAGTCCTGGGATTGAGTCCCACATCAGGCTCCCTGCATGGAGCCTGCTTCTCCCTCTGCCTGTCTCTGCCCCTCTCTCTCTGTGTCTCTCATGAATAAATAAAATCTTTAAAAAATTTTTAAAATAATGTCTGCGCTTTTATGATGTATCTTGTACTTCAATAAAAGGTTAGGAAAAAACCTCCAAAATATTATGATCCGTAGCTATTTAAAAAATATACTGGGATCCCTGGGTGGCGCAGAGGTTTGGCGCCTGCCTTTGGCCCAGGGCGCGATCCTGGAGACCCGGGATCGAATCCCACATCGGGCTCCCGGTGCATGGAGCCTGCTTCTCCCTCTGCCTGTGTCTCTGCCTCTCTCTCTCTCTCTCTCTCTGACTATCATAAATAAATAAAAATTTAAAAAAAAAATATACTACTGTAGACCAAGACATATGTGAAAATGTTAAACATTAGTTAAGTGTTAGGTGATAACATTTGTTTATGATTTTCGTAGATAAGAAACAAATGTTTTTAACTTTTAAAAAACATTTGTGATAAACTATAGGTAATATTGTTTTCTTTTTATATTTTCATAACTACTTTATTGGGACATAATTCATATGCCATATAATTCACCCATTTAAAGCATACCATTCATTGGTTTTTAGTATATTTACAGAGTAGAGTAACCATCACTACAGTCAATATTAGAACATTTTCATCACTCCAGAAAGAAACCCAATACCCATTAGAAGTGACTCACCATTTTCCCCAAACCTCTTCTTTTTGCTTTTCAATTAATTTTTATTTGAGTATAGTTGACACACAATGTTAAATTAATTTCAGGTGTATAACATAGTGATTCAGTATCTCTGTACGTTATGCTGTGCTTACCACAAGTTCTTTATTTTTCTTAAGATTTTATTTATTTGAGAGAGAGAGAGAGAATGCGAGAGTATGAGCAAGGGTGATGGGCTGAGCAGAGAGCCTGATGTGGGGGCTTGATCTCAGGACCGTGAGATAGTGACCTGAGCCGAAGGATGAAACTTAACTGACTGAGCCACCCAGGCACCCCCACAAGGTGTTTATTTTTATTTTTTATTTTATTTTATTTTTAATATTTTATTTTATTTTATTTATTTTTTTTTTTTTTACAATTTTTATTTATTTATGATAGTCACAGAGAGAGAGAGAGAGAGAGGCAGAGACACAGGCAGAGGGAGAAGCAGGCTCCATGCACCGGGAGCCCGACGTGGGATTCGATCCCGGGTCTCCAGGATCGCGCCTTGGGCCAAAGGCAGGCGCCAAACTGCTGCGCCACCCAGGGATCCCCAAGGTGTTTATTTTTAAAAGCTTTTTTCTCCAGCTTCTGTCACTGTTAAGTACAGGTATTCTTCTTTGGATCTCTGACCTTCCTACTTGATTCAGTAAGTGATGTGAGGGGTGTACTTTTTATTTTATTTTATTTTTTATTTTTTTTAAGATTTTATTTATTTATTCATGAGAGACACAGATTGAGAGAGAGAGAGACAGAGACATAAGCAGAAGGAGAAGCAGGCTCCACGCAGGGAGCCCAATGCGGGACTCAATCCTGGGACTCCTGGATCACACCCTGGGCCGAAGGCAGACGCTAAAATAAACCACCGACCTACCCAGGCGTCTCAGGGGTGTACTTTTTAAAAAGCTGTTTCAGTTTATAAATACTTAAGAGTAAAAAAAAAAAAATTATAATATAACATATCCACTTTAAAATTTTTAAATGGAAAGACCGGGTAATTAACATGTGATGAGTTCTTGCTGAATACTAGTCATAATATTAGGTTGCTTACTTTAGAATGGTCCTGTGTGTTTCAGTTGATACTTTGGTCACCTTCTGACAGTTTTATAGAAAAAAAAACTGCCTCAGAAAACAGGTTCAAGCCGGTTAAATAACTTGTCTGTTTGCACCGCTACACAGAGCCAGGGTTTAAACATGGGGGGAGGAGGTTGTTTTAATACATGTAAAAACTTTACTGAATGTGTTCACTAACTACAGAGCATCTTTGAAGTTTCAAAATCTAGGACTTAAGGAGATAGTGAAATTATGGATGCTGGTTAATGGCAGCAGCATTAGGAGTCTGAAGATATGTTATTTTCCAAGATTACTAATGTAATGAAATAATGTGATCTCCTTGAGTACTTTTGAGAAGAGGCTAAAGGTTTGTGCTTTTTTCTGTTCTACCTATGAACAGTTTTTGTCTTTGGTTTCCCAATGATGATCTCTTTGAAGAAAGTGAAGGTGTTAACCAGCACCTCGTGCTAATGCTTTGAACTTCTTTTTCTGTGCAAAGGGTAATAATCATTCCATTCTAAAAGTGAAGTTGCAAAGTACCCTTATTGCTGCAGTTGCGCTCAAGTCATTTGGCAGGACAAACAAGTGTTAGATATTCCATCCAGCAAGGGTTGCATTTTAAAAGCTCTGCCCCTAAAAGGTTTACCTTAACAGTCAATCATAGGTTAAAAGCTCTAATGAGTTTTTTTCTGGTTGAGGTAAAGGATCCAGTGGGGTCATGTGGCTCTTGTAACCTGGACTGCTGTGTCCAAAGATATGAATTCTTGATAGTATGATGTTGAGGGAAGAAGCAGCTACTGTTAATCATACAAATTTCTTGGAGTACCTGGGTGGCTCAGTTGGTTGAGCATCTGACTTTGACTTAGGTTTTGATCTTAGGGTCCTGGGATCAAGCCCTGCAGGTTCTGTGCTCGGTGGGGGCTTAAGATTCTCCCTCTCCTTCTCTCCCTCACCCCCTCCCCTGCCCCCATCCCCAGTCATGTGCACACAAGCTCTCTCTCTCCCTAAAAAAAATCCTTTAATGAAAAGATCTGGTACTGCTACACAGAAACTGAGGCCTTGGAGAGGCTAAATAATATGGCTAAGAGCTCACAGTTAATGGCAGAAGTGGACTAGAGTCTAGGTCTCCTGAGTTGAGTCTATAATCGTTTTCATTAATAAATTAGTATGTATGCATATAACTAAAAATGTTTCAGATTCTCTTCTATCCTTTATTCTGTTTTAACTTGCAGACCCCAGATGAGGCTGAATTTATAGGATTATATCATTTTATAATTCAATAAATGTTTTTTAGAATTGGGGATATGATTCTTTTATAGAAGCATTTATTTTCAGATGTTTTCTGATTTTCATTTTAGAAAATGTGGAAATGAGAAAATTACATATATAGTTACAAATATAAATATGTAATAATTATGTATACTTGAAGAAATAATTAGATACACTTTTTAGAAAACACACGTTGAGGTGCCTGGCTGGCTCAGTCAGTAGAGCATGCAACTCAGGGTTGTGAGTTCAAGCCCCATGTTGGGTATAGAGAGTACTTAAAAAAAACTTTTTTTTTTTTTTAAACCCACACTATTGGTGTAGGCAGAGAAGTGATTTGAATATAAACAAAACACACATACCACTCTTTAGTGGAGCTATAATGATATACATTTTATGTCCTTTTTTCTCTCAAGATTATTATTTACTTTCTCATCTAATAATTTATACATCTAAATTTTCTAATTTCTTGTTTTGTTGATTTTTTTTCTTTTCTTTTTTTTTCTTTCCCTCCATAGATCTTGAGCCAGATGATTGTGCATCCATTTACATCTTTAATGTAGATCCACCTCCATCTACCTTAAACTCACCACTTTGCTTACCACATCATGGATTACCGTCTCACTCTTCTGTTTTGTCATCATCGTTTCAGCTGCAGGGTCACAAAAACTATGAAGGAACTTGTGAGATTCCTGAATCTAAATACAGCCCATTAGGTGGTCCCAAACCCTTTGAGTGCCCAAGTATTCAAATTACATCCATCTCTCCTAACTGTCATCAAGAAATAGATGCTCATGAAGATGACCTACACATAAATGACCCAGAAAGGGAGTATTTGGAAAGGCCTTCTAGAGATCATCTCTATCTTCCTCTTGAGCCATCCTACCGGGAGTCTTCCCTTAGTCCTAGTCCTGCCAGCAGCATATCTTCTAGGAGCTGGTTCTCAGATGCATCTTCTTGTGAATCTCTTTCACACATTTATGATGATGTGGATTCAGAGTTGAATGAAGCTGCCGCCCGATTTACTCTCGGATCCCCTCTGACTTCTCCTGGTGGCTCGCCAGGAGGCTGCCCTGGAGAAGAGTCCTGGCATCAACAGTATGGACTTGGACATTCCTTGTCACCCAGACAATCTCCTTGCCACTCTCCTAGATCTAGTGTCACTGATGAGAATTGGCTGAGCCCCAGGCCAGCCTCAGGACCATCATCAAGGCCTACTTCCCCCTGTGGGAAACGAAGGCACTCCAGTGCTGAGGTTTGTTATGCTGGGTCCCTTTCACCCCATCACTCACCTGTTCCTTCTCCTGGTCACTCCCCCAGGGGAAGTGTCACAGAAGATACCTGGCTTAATGCTTCTGTCCAGGGTGGATCAGGCCTTGGCCCTGCGCTTTTTCCATTTCAGTGCTGTGTAGAGACTGATATCCCTCTGAAAACAAGGAAGACTTCTGAAGACCAAGCTGCTGTACTACCAGGAAAATTAGAATTCTGTTCAGATGACCAAGGGAATTTATCACCATCCCGGGAGACTTCAATAGATGATGGCCTTGGATCTCAATATCCTTTAAAGAAAGATTCATCTGGTGACCAATTTCTTTCAGTTCCTTCACCTTTTACCTGGAGCAAACCAAAGCCTGGCCACACTCCAATATTTCGGTGAGTTGATGGAAATGTCTGCTGGTCATTTTTCATGCTTATGGGTTATTGGCGGTGGCATGTGACTACACTATCTATATGGAATGGTTTGACCGTTCCCTTCCCCTCCTTTTTCCCCAGTGTCTTTTGGATAAATCAATTAAAGTAAACATGTATTTTCCTTTGATTCTTAAAAGGGCCTTGGATAGACTGGGCTTAGCATTTTTTTTTAAAGATTTTATTTATTTATTTATTTATTTATTCATTCATTCATTCATTCATTCATTCATTCATGAGAGACACAGAGGGAGAAGCAGGCTCCATGCAGGGTGCCCGATGTGGGACTCGATCCTGGAACTCCAGGATCACACCCTGCAGTTGCTCAACCACTGAGCCACCCAGGCTTCCCTGGATTTAGCATTTTAAAAACATATGGATAATGAGTTGTAGATAATAATAAGTTACATTTAAGAATCCCTAGAAAGAATTTTCCTACCTAAAAAAGCTTCTTGTAAAAGATTGATTATAGTATGGGTTAAATTACTAATAAAATTAATTGCGAACAGGCTTTTTATATTTTTAAGAGTTTATTGTACAAATGAAATTTGTATACTGTGGCAAGTTTTTTTTTCATAATTTGCTTTTTATCTATATTTTGGCTTTATAAATTTGACTTTTTTATTAGTGTAGAGGAATTTTAACATTTTACATATTCAAATTTGTTGTCTGCTCTGTGGCTTTTGGATTTTGTGTTATATTTGAAAGCCTTACCCCAATCTAAACTAATTAAAAATAAACAAAAATCTAACTTGCAAACTTCTAGTAAATTTAATGTACATACTAGTTTTATGATCTATGTATATAATGTTTTATATATATATTTGAATTTTGAGTCTAGCTGAGGACTGGAGTAGAGAACAGTGTAACAACTTTATTTTCCAAATGACGGATCACTTCCCACAATTCTATTTTATAGAATCAATCTAGTCTAATTGATTAGAAAAGACAGCTTTTATTATGTATTAAAGTGACACATGGTAGAGTTGAGTTTATTTCATTTTTTTTTAAGCCTTTTCATTGGTATTTAGGAAGATACAATGTGGAATTATGGTATTGAAGGTGCCTTTGAGCCTATCACACTGCTTCTGAAAATTGTCTTAATCTTTTTGGGGTTTTCTTTAGTCTGGGGAACAAGTGTAGAAACTAGCTGAGAGTTGAAATTGAGTTGTTTCAGACTAATAAAAATTAATACCTGTGAGGTTCACAGTAGTTAGTAAAGCTAGGCTGAGGACATTCAAAGAAGTGATGAGGTAATTTAGAAATTTACACTAAGAATGATAGCATTTCAGAGATGGAGGAGACCTTAAAAGACCAATTTCCCCAGTCACTAAGAAGATTTTTTTTTTAAGTTTTTGTTTATTTTTTTTTCATGAGAGACAGAGAGAGAGAGAGAGAGAGAGGCAGAGACATAGGCAGAGGGAGAAGCAGGCTCCCTGCAGGAAGCCTGAGGTGGCACTTGATCCCGGAACTCTGGGATCATGCCCTAAGTCAAAGGCAGGTACTCAACTGCTGAGCCACCCAGGCATCTCAAGAAGAGATTTTTAATATAAATCATTGTAGCCTTAGGTCTTTTGATATTAGACCTGTAGACATGTTACTTTTTTTTTTTTTAAGATTGTTATTTATTCATGAGAGACACAGAGAGAGAGGCAGAGGGAGAAGCAGGCTCCATGCAGGAAGTCCGACGCTAAATCACTGAGCCACCCAGGCGTCCCAAGTTATTTCTTTTTTAAATTCCATATTTTCAGTATTAATATCTGAATGAATCTGTGTCCCTTTAAGCAGTTTAAATTATCTTACTGATCAACTGATGTTTTCTCTGAAATAGACATTTAGAGTGCTGCATTGATAGGCCTTATAATTTTCAGCTGAGTATGTAGTGGAATTAAATTTGTGCCTTTGACTTAAGCAGTATTTCACAGAGACAGGGAAAAGAGCAATAGGGAGGAAGCAGGGAAGCAACATGTACAATAGATTAACTGCTATAGCTACACACCAGGGAGGGAGACATTTGTACTGGGAAATACAGGGATGTTTGTTCGGTTCCTTAGAGAGACACTGGTATATGTTCATGCAGGTTGATATCTTTGCCTTAAAAATGACATTATTTGGAACATTATAAGTGCCTGCCTTCAGCTCAGGTCATGATCCTGGAATCCCAGAATTGAGTCCCACATCGGGCTCCTGGCATGGAGCCTGCTTCTCCCTCTGCCTGTGTCTCTGCCTCTCTCTCTGTGTCTCTCATGAATAAATAAATAAAATCCTTTTTTTTATAAATTTTTTTTTAAAGATTTTATTTATTTATTTAAAGATTTTATTTTGGGCCGTCCAAATAAATAAAATCTTTAAAAAAATGACATTATTCTTTTGATTCTTTTTATAATTATGTATACATAGTTGAGAATCAGTTATAGTTTTACAGAATGTTAGAATATGTCCTTTTATTTATTTATTTAAAAGATTTTATTTGTTTATTCATGAGAGACACAGAGAAAGAGAGAGAAAGAGGCAGAGACACAGGCAGAGGGAGAAGCAGGCTCCACGCAGGGAGTCCGATGCGGGACTCCATCCCGGGACCCTGGGGTCATGGCCTGAGCCAAAGGCAGATGCTGAACTGCTGAGCCACCCAGGCATCCCAGAATTTGTCCTTTAAAAAAAAAAAAATAAATAAAGGAAACAAAAAAGTAAATGAAATTGATTTTATTCTTCAGATTAAAGAATTATTTCTTATGTACCTGTCAAATCCAATGTTATAACTTACTAACTGAAGTTTTATTTTGCAATATTTAGCTTCAGAGATCACAAGAAGAAAATGTTGGTCGCTGGCAAAGAAGTGATTTGAATCATTGCTTGGCAATAATAGTATGATGAAATGTCTTTTTTGTGTGTGTTTTGTTTATAGCACATCTTCATTACCTCCACTAGACTGGCCTTTACCAACTCATTTTGGACAATGTGAACTGAAAATAGAAGTGCAACCTAAAACTCATCATCGAGCCCATTATGAAACTGAAGGTAGCCGAGGAGCAGTTAAAGCATCTACTGGAGGACATCCTGTTGTAAAGGTATGAGTTGGGATATGAGTTGGCTTTTGGAGACGTCCTACATCTGTTGATGATAAAGTCTATTCTTTTAGGCACTACTATGCCCAAAAAGAGAAAGTTCAAAGCTTGCAAAAACCTCTGTTGAGGTTTTGTGTTCTTGATGGCAGCACTTCTATCTACATTGAAGGTTTTTTGTTGTTTTTGTTGTTGTTATATGCTATGCTGAAAGCCAGTCTTTTTTTTTTTTTAAAGATTTATTTACTTATTCATGAGAGGCACAGGCAGAAGGAGAAGCAGGCTCCATTCAGGGAGCCTGATGTGGGATTTGATCCCGGGTCCCCAGGATCAGGCCCTGGGCTGAAGGCAGCGCTAAACCGCTGAGCTACCCAGGCTGCCCCGAAAACCAGTCTTTTGATTGTGGACTGACTCTCCAGCTATGGAACTCTGAGTCAAGATTATAGTGGTCAAACAGTTCTTTTTCTCATTAAAACAACACAAAACACAACCGTTTTATAATACATGCTCATTTAAAATCTAAATAATGCCAAAAAGTAGAGAGAATAAAGCAATAAATTACCCCAAATCTAAACCCCTCAGAAATAAGCAGCTAATATTTGATTAATATTCCAAATAATTCTCTGTGTATATTTAGTGAAAGACTGAGTGGATGACTAGAAAATAGAATGAAGTTTTTAAGGATAAAATTATATTGAGCATCTTTGTGATTAAAATATTGTTTATCGGACAGCTCGGGTGGCTCAGTGGTTTAGCGCTGCCTTCAGCCCAGGGCCTAATCCTGGGGCCCCAGGATCAAGTCCCGCATCGGGCTCCCTGCATGGAGCCTGCTTCTCCCTCTGCCGTGTCTCTGCCTCTCTCTGTGTTTCTCATGAATAAATAGAAAAAAATATTTAAAAAAATAAAATAAAATAAAATATTGTTTATCTGAGTTTATTAGCAGAAAATAAAACTAATGTGAAATCATAAAAATTGTGATAGTTGAGTGTGTGAAATATATTTAATATGTAAGTTTTGAATCATAATAGTTGAATATTAACTTTAATTTTATTTGAATAAAACATTTTAAAAAATGAAACAAGTAAAACTAAGAACTACTGAATCTTAGATATTGTTCTTCACTTTCACGAGTCCTAAGAAGATCTAAGGTCAGAGATACTAAATAATTGAGAAATTAATCATTGTTTAAAAGATTTAGATGGTTTGAATTGACGCCCTTCTTTAAAATGAGATAATGTTTTTTTAAAAACTCCTTTTGCTCTCCCCTCTGCTGTTTAAATTTTGTTGCTTATTTTTCCCTACTGATGTACCGCCATCTCCCCACCCTTGTACCTTACCACCCCCATTGTTTAGCTTTAGTCCTATATCTAGTTGAATTCAATGATTACTACTAATTTTTACTTACTTTAATTACTTACTACTAATTTTTACTTACTTAAGTGTTTTTGTTTGTGGATGGTGGGATCAAGCCCTATATTGGACTCTGTGCTGAGTATAGAATCTACTTGTCCTTGTCCCTTTGCTCTTCCCCCTACTCATATACTCTCTCTCTTTTTCTCTGTTTTTTTCTCTAAAATAAATATTTTAGGGGTGCCTGGTGGCTCAGTGGTTGAGCATCTGCCTTGGGCCCAGGTCGTGATACCAGGTTCCTGGGATCGAGTCCCCCACATGGCTCCCCACCGGGAGCCTGCCTCTCCCTCTGCCTATGTCTTTGCCTCTCTCTCTGTCTCATGAATAAATAAAATATTTAAAATAAATAAAATTAAAATAAATATTTTTAAAAATAACAAAAAGTAAAAGCTGATTCTTTGTTGGAGCTCTTCCCTAGCTCAGTAGAACACGTGACTCTTAGTCTCGTGGTCATGAGTTCAAGCCCCCATGGGTATAGAGATTACTAAAAATTAAGAAACCCCACAACTCCCCCCAAAATAAACTAGTTCTCTGCTTAAGGGGAGATTAACACTTTGAGTATCATCAGTGCTTTATATTTTCCTTGTTAGTGACTTTTTTTTTTTTTGTAACTTCTTCCTCGAAGAATTATATCCGTATACTTGAAATTACTGACTTAACTAGAGTATGTCTGGATATTGATGGTTCTTTATCAGTCTGTCCCTAGTACCTGTAATGCTTCTTTCAATCTGAGATTCTTTTCTTCCTTCATGCAAGAAAACCTTTTTATATTATGTATCTGTATACATTTCTTCTTCATTTGTTTTGTCCTTTACTTTAGGGACTCCAATTACTATTCAGATGTTTACTTGTTTTTATCTCCCATGTCTTTATGTTCTCTTCTTTGATTCCTTCAATGTCTTTTCTTATCATTTATTGTGATTTTTTTTAAAGCCCTGCCCTGATGTTTGCACTGATGTTTTTGATATATTTGTCACTCACGGTTTCTAATCTAGCTTTTTAAAATAATTAATTAATTAATTAATTAATTAATTTTAAAGATTTTATTTATTTGACAGAGAGTGAGTGAGCACAAACGGGGAGTGGCAGACAGAGGGTGAGGAAGAAACAGGCTCTCTGCTGAGCAGAAAGCCTGACATGGGGCTCGATCCCAGGATCCTGGGATCAGGGCCTGAGCCAAAGGCAGACAGACGCTCAACTGACTGAGCCACCCAGGTGCCCCTTAATTTAGTTTTTAGATCTCCAGTTGTGTTTTGTACTTTAGTTTGCTTCTTTAGCTACATTTTCCACTTATTTCATATTTTATCATTATATTTGATTTCATGGTTTATTGAACTTCTTAAATTTTGTAGTGTGGAACTTTCACTGGCAATTAGTTTCTCGGTTGTGTGTGTGTGTGTGTGTGTGTGTTGAGGGGGAGATTTTGTTTTCACTTTTTTTGTAAGGTGGGAGGGGCAGAAGGAGAGGGGCAGAAGAAGAGAGAATCTTAGGCAGGCTCCATGCCCACCTCAGAGCCCAATGCAGGCCTCGATCTCACAAATAGGATCACCAAAAATAGGAATCTTACAACCCTGAGATCATGACCTGAGTCAAAATCAAGAGTTAGACACTTAACTGACTGAGCCACCCGGGTACCCCTTCACTTTATTAAATTATTCAAATGTCTTGTATAGTTTGTTCCTTTTTTTATTAAATAAAAATAAAAAATGTATACTGTAATTGCCTAATTGCCATGCCTTTTATCCCCCATTTTGTTTGAGAACTTTGGTCTATAGCCTGAGGAAATTGGGTGGAAGAGGTACAGAATTAGCTTAAGATAGGCCTTGTTGAGTTTGGCTCAAGAGAGTAAACAGTATCACGTATGTATTATGGCCCACTCCCATTACTCTAGTATGTATCATATTTTCATGAGCTGTACTTGTTCCCTTAGTACAGCACAGAGTCCTGGAAGATGGTAAGCACTCCTGACCTTTTCTGCTTCTGCCAAAGGCCCTGGAGCAGAATGTGGTATCTTTTATTCTTTTTTTTTTTTTTTTTTGGTATCTTTTATTCTTGAGGGAAAGTTTTTCCTTGACTTTTTTCAGAGCTGACTACTTACACTTATGATTTACTTTGCTGTAAATTAGTTAGCATTATATCAATATTTTATTTTCTCAATTTATTACTTTTATTCCATTAATTTACTTAGTAATGTTATTTGTTATTACTCTTCCTAGTGGATAAAGGTACGAACTAGTTAGCAGTTCTGCCACACAAATCAAAATCTTAATCTTCTGTTTTGCATTTCTCATACTGCCCCTGCTACCACCACACATGCATATATTTAATTTTGTTAGGTATTGGGGGAAGATGATTGTGATACTACTTCATTCCATTGTTTTTATCCAAAAGTTTTCTCTCTTTCTAATAATCAGAGTAAAACAAGCATTGCACGATAAGAAGAGGTCATCTCAAATTGGAAATAAAATGTGACTGATTCTGTGTACTGTACCACACTTGTATGGTACACTCTTCAGTTGTGTATGCCTACTTCTGAGACCTCATTTTTCCCACTAACAAAAGCAGCCCTTTCCCAGCAGCTAAGAAGACTATTTGTAGATTTCTCTGCTGTTCTGAGAATTTTGTAATACTCAGGAAAGGAAGGCATGATTTGCCATTCCAGACTGGTCTGACCCATCACACATTAGAGTGGCATGCTTGGTTCTCAGAAAAAGCCCTGATTCTGCTCTCTTTGTACTGTTTTTGTTTTGTTTTAAACATTTTATTGCTCTGTAAGAATACATCACTAAAGTACACAAGTCTTAACATGTACAGCACAGTGAATTTTTAGCACATGTGGACACACATAAAACTACCACAAAGGTTAAGATACAGAATATTTTTAAAAGATTTATTTAATTATTTATTTTAGTGTGGGAAGGGGCAGATGGAACCATAAAGAGTCTTAAGAGGACTTGTGCTGAACCTGGAGCCTGATACAAGGCTTGATTCTATGACTCTGAGATCATGACCTGAGCCGAAACCAAAAATAGGATACCCCACCAACTGTGCCACCTAGGCACCCCAACTTACAGATTTTAAGCACCTAGAAGACTTCCTTGTACCCTTCCTAATTTGTATCTCCCAACCAAAGGTAATCATGCTTCTGACCGCTTATCATCATAGATTCATCTTTTTATTCTTGAATTTCATATGTATAGAATCATACAGTATGTTTTATTTTCTGTCTGGCTTCTTTTATTCAACATTACGACTGTGAGATTCATCCACTTTGGGGGGATAGTTTTTCTTTTTCTTTGCAGTATAGTATTCCATTGCATGAATTAGCTGTGATTTCTTCATCTGTCTCCCTGTTCATAGACACTTGGTTTGTGATCACTTTCGGACTATTTTGAATAAAGATAGTATGTTCTTCTCTCTCTCTCTCTCTCTCTCTTTTTTTTTTTTACATATCTTTTTACTTTTAATTCCAGTATAGTTAACATACAGTATTACATTAGTTTCAGATGTACTACACTTATATTTTGATAGACAAAAGCATTCACTTTTTTGGTTATATATCCGAGTAGAATCGCTGGTATTTCAAAGTACCTATA